ATAAAAATCCATCCATTCCTTTTTTATTTCCCCCATAAATCAGAAAGGGTTTCTCCAAACGGGTTGTGATGTTGCATTGGGATAGACGTCACCCACGACTGGTGACGGAAAATTCATTATTAGCATACACTCTAAAAAAAATGATGCCATATAGCAGTAAAAGCGGTTCTTTGGCTTGTAATCATAGGGGAACCACTTTTAGTGCTATTTAGCACCTATTTTTACAGGTGCTATAGCACCTTAACCACTCCAAAGAACCACTGAAGAACCTTTTTTTTTTAGAGTGTAGATCCTCCCCTAAATGAGCTGTTTGTCTTCTCGCTAGAGAATTGTAATGGGACACTTGGCTCGGCTCAGCAATAAGAAACAGCCGTTGAGCTATTGATTTAGTATGACTTCTGTTATAGTGTTATACAGTTATAATGAACTATCTAAAACACAAACCATTCCTAACAAATCATACTCACAATGGAACACGGTGTGCATTTTAACAAATAAAGACTAAATTACAATGTGCAAAATAGCAGCATCCAACACTTCTAGTTGTATCATTGTATCATTAAACAGTGAAATAAGGATGAATGAATTTGAACTGTCTGTGATCCATCTTCATATCCAGAAGACGAGTCAGCACTGATCCACAAGATCCATTCAATCAGAAAGAAAGAAAGAAAGAAATTGATTTTTTTGTTCATGTAAATTCTTTTGATTCCTACTTCAAGGTATGGACTAGATGTTAAATCTTGTTCAAAATCTTGCAAAATCAGAAAATTTCTGTGTTTGTGCATCAGTTTCTTTTCAGCTTATAGGAAGGTCATTCAATTTAACATATGATGATGCAGAAAGAACTGTTTTTTGGTTCATTGAAATAAACCAAAAAAAAAAAAAACGTTTTTCTCTATTCAACAATTCATATTTTAGAGAGTTTTTATAATTAGAGCATTATATTTTGTGTTTTTATGAGAAAGTCGTTGGAAACATTGACACCGAAACTCTTTATTCTTCTGTCTGTATAGTATGTCTGGCATTCAGTCAGAAAGGTCTTACCTGCTTGGAAACAGCTCTAAGCTGTGTCACAACTACAAGTCTTAACAACTTCTTGATTTGTTTAGCAACAGAGGAGGCTACAAACGTCTCAGTCAAAATTTTAATTAGATAAGCTTTTTCATTTTGGCCTCAGGGGGATTCCTGAAATCCCACCCTCTTTTACCTTTAAGAAACTACTAGAATTTGCAGAGGTTGAAAGCAGAACAAATATAACCAAATTATAAATAAAAAGTAAATTATATTATTTTCCAAATTATCCAAATAAAAATGATAAAATAATAAAATAAAAATGATCCAAATTATTATTATCCAAATAATAAATGGTCCAAAAAGAGCTTAAAGCTTGATGCGATTTGAGAACCTTCTTTAGTAGAAGATAACTACTGCGGCTGCTTCAAAATAGCCAGAAACCAATAGACTGGCCTAAGGAAACTGTAATATAATAGCAAACTTTTTTTTTTTTTGGTCAATTTTTATTATTATTTTTTAATCAATGCAAACATCAAAATAATCCAGAACACAAATCTGTTTTATATACATTTGTCAGACACTTTTATCTAAACCAATGTGTGCATTCAAATGATATAGTTTATCAGTACAGCATCCAACATTCCTTACTAGTGCATGCATTCCTTAAAATTACAGTGCGCCACCCTTCACACGGCACATTCACACACACACACACACTTAGATTTTCAAAAAAACTCATTCTGAATTATTTATAAGCCTTTTGAATTACGGGGACACTGAAAATGTCCTCATAAATCACCTTCTCGTTGTAATACCTATGTCATACCCATGTTATTATACAAATTTGTGTCCTCATAAACCACATAAACATGCGCACACACACACACACACAAACAAACACACACACGCACACACACACACATTGGTTTTTGTTTTATGGGGACTCTCCATAGGCGTAATAGTTTTTATACTGTACAAACTGTATTTTCTATCTCCCTACACCGAAATCAACCCCTTACAGAAAACTTTGTGCATTTCAGATTTTTTTTTAAAAAAAAACACCATTTAGTCAATTTAGTATGTTTTTTAAGCCTTTGGAATCATGGGGACACAGAAAGTGTCCTCATAAGCATCTTCACATTGTAATACCTATTTCATACCCATGTCATTATAAATTGTCATACAAATCCTCATAAACCACATAAACACACACACACACACACACACACACAGTTAAGCTTATATCACTGAGAACATACATGGGCAGATTTATTTTCACTTTTTCACTTTTCAGCAGATAAATTAAAATTCCACAGAGAACAAGTATTTTGTTGTGAAACATGTACTAATGCTTTTCATTCCTTTACTGCACAGTGAGGGTGTCCAAAAAAATTTACTCTTTATAATCTTTCTTTCTAAGATTCTTGAAATTAAGAGTTGTTTTAAACCTATGGTGCTGCATAGGGCCACAGAAGTCCTTTATTTTAAAAAATATACCACTTTTTTTTTGTAAAAGTATGTTTTACATTTTATGAAGATAGCTGCAAATAAAGTACATCAATTTCTTAAATGCCTTAAGCAGTTTACATCTGAAGTCTTACATTTATCAGTCTGAATCTTTAATTTACAGTGTCATACTTATCTTATGGAGACTCACTGCGAGTCATTTACCCTGATGAATTCATGATAAGCTCAGAGCAGTTTCACAAGAGCTGCACCTTTATGCCTTCTATTGATATGCCTTATATGATTGACTGGCTGAGTAGTTGCTGTTAAAAATCCCTGTATAATTAAGTCATGTCCACCAGACATTGACCGTAACTGACAGATTTTTGTTCATAAATGTACAAATAAATAGACTATAACCTTTTGTTTCCCAAAACAATCAAAATCCTCAAAGAAAAGGCTACAAGAGGTGTACAAAAAATGTGTGCATATCCTGGATATAGAGTGATTCATTTTAATGCAAAGGTCTTTAACACTGCTCCTGGAGATCTGGAAGTTTATTTGCAACCTGCTTTACACCTTGCTGTGATTTTTAAGCAATCCTGAAGACCTTGATTAGCTTGTTCATGAGTGTTTGGTTATGGTTGGATCTAAACTCTACCAAGAGCAGGGTTAAAGACTCATGGGTAATCCTTGCATTCAAAAGTACAAAACTATTAGAAATGAATTATTGTGGGTGCGAAACATCTAGTTCACAGAATCTTTACTGTAAGTATTACAGCAGAAATACCAATGGAAATATGATAATCAATATGGGGGACTTTAAATATTGAGTTACATAATTGAGGGGAGTTTGAGAAAGACCGCTTTGAAAGCACAGTGCTTAAAAGTTCCTCAAACCAGTTCTGACCCATCCCTGTATGATCACTGTATTTGTTTGTCTTCGGGCTGAATTCTGAGCATTTTTACTCCAATCCTAGTCCTTGTGAATATGCTCACTTTCAGTTGGGTCATTTAGAACGAACCCTCTATGTTAATTCACAGCATCAGTTACTCATTCTGTATTTTGAGATTGCTTGACCAAATCAGACACAATATAGCTCAGCAGACAGCTTCTTCTTCTCCCTCTTTTTTTTAAACAAACTTTTCATGCTTACAAAAAGTGCTCGGATGCCACGTTAGTTATATGTGTTCATTTAGGAATTCATTTTTTGATGTGTATGTGTGTTTATATAATAATGACAATATATTGGGATTTCTCTGTGGCATCACCTCAAACTTTTGTCTTGGAGATCCTCTTGTTCCCTATTTAATTACCTGAACCATTTAGAAATAGGACTCTAACCAATCAGGATTTTACTTCTTTTAACACACTAGTCTCCATCACTGGGTGACTTTGTTATCTGACTTAATAAGTACTTTCCCCTGAAAAATGAATTCAGAAACAAACTGAGGAATTAACCTGACTGAAACTGTCCCCACACTGTAAAATCTAATTAGCTAGGCTTCAAAAAATCATGCAAACCAAGAAAAGTGAAATAGGAATAGTATGTTGTACTGACAAATGCTTACACGAGAGTTCTAGTAACTAAAAAAGAGAGTACTTGATAATTTACTTTATATTTATTCTTGATTTAGTACAGCTATTCAGAATTACTGAATCATTACTGACATTGCAGCATGAAGAAATTATGCAACTGCTTTGTTTAACTTTTTTTGGCTGCCAGTTTTATTTGCTGTCTTGTGTCAGTAGTAGCACAACAAAAAGAGAAAATACAATTGTTATTGTTACAATTAATAAAAATGATGGTTACACTTTATTTTGACAGTCCACTTTAGACATTCTACTAAGCAACTTTGCAACTATACATGTCATCTAATTCTCATTAATTTGCAACTACATGTCTACAAACTCTCAGGGTAGACTGTTAGGTTAAGTTTAGGGTTAGTAGAATAAGTTGACATATACAGTACTTGCAATGTTTCTCATAGTCAGTATGTTGTGGACCCATCAAAATAAAGTGTTAGAAGATATTAAGCAGACAGTCTTCTAATACTCTAATGACAGCTAGTTGGCACGTAGTTGCAAAGTTACTTACTGTTAGTAGAATGTCTAAAGTGGACAATCAAAATAAAGTGTTACCTAAATGATAAAATGTAATTATCATTGTGTTTTGCATGCTTAACGTTGAAGTCAAACATGGTCAATTGCAAGATATTTGAAGGATTATATCAATCCAATAAAAACTTCACAAGGTGTTTACGAAAACTGTTAGCAATAAAAGTGTAAAAGATCATTCAAAATGAAAATAAAGTAGTTAATGGTTTAGTTATAAGTTAGGTCACCTTTTAAATGCAACCTATTTATTAATTCTTTTTTTTTTTAAAGTTATATTTATGGGCTTTTTATGCCTTTATTGTGAGGGGACAGTGGAGCGCTAACAGGAAAGCACTGGGAGGAGAGAAGGGAGCAAGATCAGCAAAGGACTTTGAGGCGGGATTCGAACTCGGGTCACCATGAACGCACTAACCACAAGGCTACACTCTAAAAAAATGGTGCTGTATAGCACTAAAAGCGGTTCTTTGGTTTGTAATCATAGGGGAGCCACTTTTAATGCTATTTAGCACCTATTTTTACAGGTGCTATATAGCGCCTTTGTCAAATGGTGTCATGTAGAACCATAAGAGGTGCCACATAGCACTTTTTCTCAACAATGGCGCACCAATCATAACTCATCCATGGCTCCCAGCATGCATTGCGACATGAATAAATTATGCAGCTGCATTGTCTTAGTACTTTCTTTTATTCTTACTATTTGCTTTTATTTTTGTTGTGACTTTTTTTACTGCCCTGTTTTGTGATGTTCAAAAATCATATCAAAATGATCAGAAATTGTGTCACTATTGCTGAGATTCACATGCTGATTCTTCATGTCTATGAGTGACAGAATCGAAATCTCTTTATAACCCATAATTCTAAAAGTGGTTTATACAATTTTCTCACATTGTCACGTAGTATCATAGAACTGCAGTAACCTAAAACTCATAAAACAACTACAGATTTTGATCAAATGCAACCAGAGACTCAGATGCATGAAATGATTTTATCTTAAGTGCCTTGCCATCACATATGCTCTTTATAAGCACGATTATAACAGCCAAATAAAAACTTATTTTAACTTTAAATTAAAGTCAAGGGTCAAGAGACAACTAAAGCAAAAACTTTTCACCAAAACGGTAAGTAAAAAATAAATAAAAATAAATAACATCTAAACCTTAATTCTCAATAAAGAACTTCTGTTTTAGATACTCCAGAAATAAAGTCTAACTGGTTAGTAATGTGTGAAGTTGGTGTTGCTGTTTGTGGAGAGGTCCTTTTTTTCTGAGGTCAAAGGTCTCATGTGGGGACCCTGGAATATTTCCTTATGGGGACCTTGGGGGCAAAAAAAAAAATTATATCGTCAAGAAATAGTCTGTATTTTAATGTTGTTTTAACCCTTTCCCCAACTAAACTAAGAGACTAAGAGAGAGTTAAAGAACCTTTAAAGAACTATACAGGGGCTTACAGGTTTTACGGTGGTGATATATAGCACCTCATCAACTCCAAAGAACCGCTGAAGAATCACACAGGGGCTTAACAGGTTCTTTATACAGTAGTGGTGCTATATAGCACCTTAACCGCTCCAAAGAACCGCTGAAAAACCTTTTTTTTAGAGTGTATGGGCGATGACCCTATTTATTAATTTTCTTCGCGAGAAACCAAATAACTGATTTCATATTGTATCACCACATCAATAGAAGGAGAATTACAATAAAATAAATGAAGTTCCAAGTGTCCAACCAAAGGGAGCACTAGTCACTATAATGCTGTTCAAACAAAAACATTTTAGGAAAATCAGCATTCATGAAGTCACCTTATGTGATGTTCTCTCAAATTTTTCAGTTGTATTGACAATTCAACATTCAAGATGACTTTGGGAAAGCAACTAGAGAAAGATGACTGCAGAAGTAGAGGAAATGAGTGAAAAGTCTATATTAAAGGAGTGGTTGATTGAGATTTCACTTTTTTAATGTTAGTTAGTGTGTAATGTTGCTGTTTGAGCATAAACAATATCTGCAAAGTTATTATATAAGCTAAAAGTTCAATGCAAACGGAGATATCGTCTTTTAAATTTCTGGCAGTTTAATGCCTACAAAAACGGCTGGTAGGACTACAAACAAGTTACTTCCCGGGTTCGTGACATCACAAACCCAGATAAACCCCACCCTCGGGAAAAGCCAGCAAAGGGGGCCGGGCTATGCTGCGCTGCTTTAGAGAAGAGGAAGAGAAAACTAGAGGTGCACGTAAAAATCTGTTCATATATGAATCGTGATTCTGTCTTCTAAAGATTCTAATGGATTCACAAGTTTCAAAATCAATGTTCAAAAGCAGCGGTTCTTAATACTGTTCCTCGCATCGCCCTGCTCTGCATCTCTCTCTCTCTCTCTATCTCTCATTCAGCTCAGCTCCAAGAATGAACGGTTACAATTACACTTATTTTCACATAGCTATGAGAAGCGTTAAACATGGATGCGCATGCAGTTGCCGTACTGTATTAAAGCTTTAATCAGGATAAAACCGTATATTAAAAGCTAACAGAAGCAGTAGCATTTACAACAGCGTATCTAAAAGTATGAGACAACAACAAACAAAAAACATAGGCCTACCATTAAAAGCCATGCTTGCGCAGGTTCTGCGCGATCCTCTTCAATAATATTCTCTGCTTCTCAATCGGGCTCAAACTGATAAGCGATATTAACATGCAGTTGTTTACAATACAACCGGAGCACATGCCGCTGAGGTGAGGGGCGGGACGCTTAGACGCGCACTAGAGGCGGTTTAGCCAATTACAACACACTAGCTTGCTAACCAATCAGAGCCCCTCGCCTGTTTCTGAGGGAGGGGTTTTATAAAAGAAGGAAATGATTAGTCTGTTTCTCAAAGAAGGGACAGAGCGGTGTGGAAAAAAGGTAAATTATGTGAAAAATAATGATTTTTTTTTTAAAAATGAAGCATTAACACATGTTAGACTGCACCCCATAAACACAATCAAGCCTAGAAAAAAAAACAGGGAACCACCCCTTTAACAATTGCCCCCCCTTTTTTTTTTTTTTTTTTTTTACAAAATGGCTTTAACAAAAGGTTGTTGTGCATGCTAACCTTCCTTATTTGTTCTTCTGTTGTTTTGTTGCACACATATTAATGCACTGCTACTTCTCACTGGTAAATTAATGTTGTTGGTTCCTTTGTGGTTTCTTGAATATTTTAAGTGTCACTCAAAGCAGTAAGTAAGTTGCTTTATGCACGTTAAAATTATTTAGTTACAAGTTATCTGTAACTAAAACCTAGTAAGTATAACAACTAAGTAAAGATAACTAATTATATCTAAGGTAAACTATTGGATTTTACAGTGCATGAGAACTTTGTGCATTTATTCTCTGTTTACAAATTCTCTTCATTTACAGCCATTCTGTAAATTTCTATAGCTTTTAAAACAGAATGCAGGTGCTATAAGTCTGAGCATGCTCTATTCCCATTAGAAGCTCCTGTGGCGACCAGAGAATGTCTGTTTAAGTACTCTGAACGCAGCAGTATAAGGAAGTATTTCACCCCTGCTGAGAGGGGCTACAGTGCGGTTCCTGTTGACCGGCATTCCAGTTCTCCTATGTCATTTGATTGTAATTCACAACCATTTTAAAAGAGTTATATAATAGAAATGAAATTTGATATGTTATAAAACATTCACTAATGGTTAGAAATGAGAACCGTCTCGGTTTGGTTTAAAAAGAATACTTAATGAAAATAACCTGTGAAAACAACTTGTTCTGAACTTCTGTACATTTTTGTCGTCAGACGTCATGAAGACATGACTGCCACCATTTACACATGCCTACAATGTTCTGTGTTCAGAAACTTGGCCTGCCCAGCTATGACGTAAAAAAGACAGACATTGGTTAGAGTTCATTATTCCTGACATCCAGATGCAATTGTAAAAAATTATTTGAAAGTTTGTCAAACCTTATATTTATTTTCAACAAGAGCCCTAATGAGCCTGTTATGGTGCAGTTAAAAACTATGTATTTTTAAATTGCGAGGGATCACTGCACCTCATTTTACATTAAAAGAGGCTGCTTACATAGAAAGCTTAAGTCTTGCCAACTTTGGAATGACATGAGTAAATAATGACAGAATTTTCATTTTTGTCATTGCTTTCACATGCAATATTTAGGCCTATCTATTATATTTATCTCTTTTTTCACATTACATCTTACATTTATTTTACCTTCGCCCTTGACTGACACAGTGACACATAAAAAAACTGGATGATGAGTAATTTCTTACTGCCAAATTCTGAAAAAACAGAGGTGTTATCGGATCTAAAACCTCCTCATGTAATAACCTAGAACACTGTCTAACACTTGATGGCTGCTCTGTCAATTCTTCGTCATCAGTTAGGAATCTAGGTGTTTTATTTGATAGCAATCTTTTCTTAGAAAGCCACATTTCTAGCATTTGTAAAACTGCATTTTTTCATCTCAAAACTATATGTAAATTATGACCTATGCTCTCAATGTCAAATGCAGAAACATTAATCCATGTGTTTATGATCTCAAGGTTAGATTATTGTAATGCTTTATTGGGTAGTTGTTCTGCACGCTTAATAAACAAACTCCAGCTGGTCCAAAATGAAGCAGCTAGAGTTCTTACTAGAACCAGGAAGTATGACCATATTAGCCCGGTTCTGTCAACACTGCACTGGCTCCCTATTAAACATCGTATAGATTTTAAAATCTTGCTTATTACTTATAAATCACTGAATGGTATAGCACCTCAGTATTTGAGTGTGCTCTTATTGCATTATAGTCCTCAACGTCCACTGCGTTCTCAAAACTCTGGCAATTTGCTAATACCTAACAGGGATGGGCAACTTTGATAGTGACGAGGGCCAGCATTTTTTTCTCCTTTATACCAAGGGGCCAGATTACTAATCCACGTTCACACACCTTTTACACCGTCTTACTCAATTTCCTTTTTATTGAAGGAAATTAAAGTATAACTAATATAATAATAAAAAAAAAGATTTTATTAACTATAAAACTTAAGCTAATTCAGAAGGAAAACTGTTGTCAGTGGACAGATATATTTCCCCAACAAGCCAATGTAAACATCTCAATTGCATTCCCTGCAAACAAGCCTGCACTGGCCCTTTATGGGCTGCCAGCACAGGCCCGCGAAGAATTTGCTCATCGCCAAAAGGTGGGCCCC